TCAAATGCAGATGACTGCTGGTGCCTATGTCTCTGCTTCTGCTTCTGCCAATACTGGAATGTGTGCCTCAACAACAGATACTTGCCCCAATGGCGAGCGTGCACAGCAAATGCGATGCAACTGTGTGGTAGTGAGCACGGAGGAGGCAAGGAAAATATCTAAGGTGAGGCCACTGACAACTGCCGCCTCCATGCAAGAAGCTGGATCAGGATATGCCTCAAGTCTTTTGTTTAGAAACACAGAGTTTCTGAAGTATTTTCAAATTCTCAACATTTGATTTTCCAACATTTAAAACAGAACAGTTTATCTGAATGGAAGAGTACTGTTGAACAGTCGATGAATCTCTTCAGTTTTGAGTTCCAGACATTGCAGCTGCATCCAGATGAACAGATGCATTTGACCACAGTTGGCCAACCGCCCGCAATAACCCACGAGAGGAAAATGTGATTCCGGCTTTGGCATGTGTTATCAGCTTCCTGCAAGTGCCCACAGGCTGGCTGTGTGAGACCACATATTGCAAATGCAAATATAGTTGCTGAGGTTTTGGAAAATGTGTTTTCTGTTTATGCAGTCAGTTATTGGTGATGGACTGTCATGCACGCCAGTGTGTGGCAGAGAGGAAGACACAGAAGAATGCGGGGCACTGGCACAGTGCCCAAATGGGAATGTGTTTTCTTGTTTTGATGGATTATGTGGCACAACTGTGACATCAAGAGCATACAATGCAATGAATGGAACGAACTGCACTTTTGATGGGGTAAGTAGTGTTCGACTTGTGCAGCAGTAATGTATGGATGTCCTTTGAATTAGCTGCTGTCATAGTTTGTAAAGAATATAATATCCCGCTTGAAGCGACACAGCTGTTGTCGCGCAATTAGGAAGGATGGGGAAAGAAATGCACTGAGCAGGAACTTTGGTAGCTCTGATTGCAGCGCTCATTTTGCAAGGGGTTTGGCCAGTTCATTGTTGATTTTTTCAATTTTCGGTCACAATGCCGCAGTTGGTGCACTACACTCATCACGTGTGGGAAATGGAAGCATAATCTTGCCTATTGGGCAGCACTTCGAAATTGGTTGGTGTGCACAGCACCAATTCATGTACCGACTTGACACCATCAGTTGTTTTCACAGAAGCAAGCAAAACTGCACAACAGCATTGTGTAGGATGTGTATTTGATTCGCGCATGCATTTCTGTGACGCAGGTATCTCAGTTGTTTGAATGTGGTGGCCGCATCGCCATTGATAGACCAACTTTCGAGACAATCAACGATGGCATATGTTTGCCATTCTGTCAGCCTCCTCAGCTGTCATGTCAGTTTTCGCCTCGCTTTGGTGCTCCTTTAGCCCTGTTCAGTAGTCCCAGCGCTGCAGAGAACACATCTATGACAAGGAGAGTGATGGCCCCAAGTGAGTTGATGACCGCTAAAATCCCTTTGAAGAATGCCAGCTTATTTAGTGTTTGGCGTCAGCTCCTGCACTGCCTCCTCTTTCATGTCCAGCTCCTATGCGTGGTTGAGTTCAGACTGTTTGGAACCAGAATTTTGTGGTTCCCTGCTTTATGGGCATTGTCCTTGTCAACGCTCTCTAGGTGCATCAGCTGTTGCTGAGTTTCAGAGTGCCAACATAATGTGTTGCTGTTTGAATCAGTTCATGCACAGATGTTGCTACAACAGATCGATATGCAGCGATGATCTAGCTGTTCATTGCCCTGTAGTTGTAATCAGCTTGCCTTGTTCTGCAAGGATTGGTAACCCAAGGTTTTTCAGTAATATTCACAGCTGCATTGTCATCCACGGCCCTTAAAGGTAGCTGGAAAGGGATCAGCTGATAGCTGGATTCCTGGAACTTGTGTGTTCAACAGAGGCTCAGTAACGACTATTCCTGTTTTCAGGGATCTGCCCAGACAACTCCAGGCCACAGACATACCAATGTGGCTGTGATGTTGTCTCAGCAAGGGAACTTGCAGCTGTAGAGCAGGTGCGGGCATATTCCTGTGACACAAACTGCATAGCCCAAATGTTGTTGTGCACACTGGAAAATTGTTCTGAGTGGCTCAGCACGCAAACATGGCCTGCTGTTACCAGTATAGAGCCAGCACCTGCTTGTGGAGGCTTTATCAAGTGTTTGTGTTTGTGTCCTGCTGATGCATACCTGGCCACTCCACAGATTGCCACATTGTGGTGGTCAACCACCTTGTGGTTGGTGCACAAGTGGTGCTTCGTCAATGACTGGCAAGAGCACTCAAACTGACTGTCTTTCTCCACAGGTTGCTGGTACGGGGCATCTCCCCTGCCAACCAGTGTGTGGCAGTTCTGCAGCAGGTTCTGGATGTGACAGCTGCGATGACTGGGTCTGCGTTCTTGATGGCTGTGGAACACGAGTTTCGCGGCTGGCTGTGGATAACATCAGATCATCAACCTGCCGTTTTCTGACGGTGAGGATTTTCCCACCATATTGAGTGAAAACATTCCATCAGGCTGATAATTGGATTCCAAGCCACGTGTACTTTTTCTTTTGCATCATGTCTTGCTGTTGCTTGCGCTTACAACTTTCCTTTGCCATTTGCTGTGGTTTGCAGTATGCCAACATGTTCGAATGCGGGGAGGGCAATCAAAGGGTGGTGGCAGATGAGCAGACAGTCAGGGCAGTATATGCAGGCTCATGCACGCCAGCGTGCAACTTGGTGCGGGAAGACCTGTCATGTGCCTTTGCTGCCCGCTTTGGGCCTTCCTTCTTCATGCGGGATGAAGATCTGGCACCTGGCCCCACACTCCAGCCTCCACAACTTGCACCGGCCCCAGCCCCAGATGCAAGCCAAGTTGGTGTGGCACCAGCGCCGATGTCGAATGGGACGAATGCCACTGGGGTCAGTCCGGCTGCAGCCGATGGGCCAGCTCCGGCCCGGGTGCCCACGCCTGGTGGTCCTGCCCCAGGGCCAGCGGCTCTTGCACCGCAGCCTGCTGCACCAGAACCTGCCACCGATCCGGTGGCACCTGTGCCGGCTCCTGTTGCCTCTGTGCCAGCCCCTGCCCTGGGACCTGCGCCGGTGGCTAACGAATCGGTGTCGGTCGCAGGCCCAGCATCTGTGCCTGGGCAGGCCCCGACGCCGGGCCCCCTGCTGCCCCCTGAGCCAGCACCAGAACCAGTCCCTAAGCCAGCTTCAGGGCCAGCTCCTGAACCAAATCCTGAGCCACCTTCCGGGCCAGTTCCAGCTTCCGGGCCAGCCCCTGAGCCAGCTTCTGGGCCAGCCCTCGAGACAGCTTCCGGGCCAGCCCCTGAGCCAGCTTCCAGGCCAGTTCCAGCATCCGGGGCAGCTCCTGAGCCATTTCCCGAGACATCTCCTGAGGCATCTCCTGAGACATCTCCTGAGGCATCTCCTGAGACATCTCTTGAGCCAGCTCCCGAGCCGTCTCTTGAGCCAGCTCCCGAGCCGGCACCAAAACAGACACCAGTGCCAGCCCCTGAACCCACACCTGCGGTGGCTCCCGCTCCAATCCCGTCATCTCAATCTCCTGCTCCTGCCCCTGTACAAGCTCCAGAGGCTGCGCCTGAGCTTGTGCGGGAGTCCGCGGTTGCACCCCCCGGAGGATTTTTCAGGGATGCGCCTGAGATGCAGAGGGGACCCTGGCGGGCTTGTAGCCAAGTGTGTGACCAGGCAGGACCGGCAACAAGGGTGCGTATCCTGGACAGTGTGCTTGCGGGCTGTTTCTGGATGGCTGGATCGTTGTGCACTTGCACTTGGGAACAACACAATAAAGAAGTTCACACGAGACCAAACACGTGGGAATCATGAAGTGCAACATAATGTAGGGATTTTTGCTTGCCATTGGATACATTGCCACTGTGCATTTGAGTCTACAAGCACTTGGTTTAACTTGTGTTCCAGGACTATGACAGATATAGGAATATGTGTAAAAAAAATAAGAAAAGAAATGCACTTATCTTCCCATTCTGCCTGTTTTCAGGAGCGCTCAGTGTTCTGCCGCAGCCGAGCTGGCACTCCAACGTTGCCCTCTGACTGTCCCAAAGAAGACATTGCTTCTGAGAAACTCTGCAAGGCTACCGACTGCCAGGGAGATTACCACCTCAAGTTGGGAGAATGGTCTCAGTGTTCTGAGCGCTGCCAAGTGGCAGATGAAGTGACAGGCGAGTGCTGTCGTGCAAGAGCCCGCTCTAATAGACAGTGCAGGATCTGTAATGGGAGCTCACACACAGTCTCCTTGGGCCCCTTTCAGAATACATTGTCTGTGCATGCAAGCATCCAGTATCCTACTGGGTTTGATGAACAGTTCAATCTGAGACCTTCACAACATATTGATCGTAAACCATTTGGTGACTATTGTGTTTGGCGGAAAGTATGTCATACAGTACATGAATATGCATTATGGGGGGACATCCCTTCATGAAGAATCTATGACAATACTAAGGTTGTCCATAGTAAAAAGATGAACAGAAACACCTGACTGAGGCAGCATCAAGGGGGCAAGTTCATGAACCCTGACTGCGCTCTCTTTCAAGCAGCGGAAGCTGTGAGTTGAGAATAGAAGCCAGTTCTGCGGCAATTTTCCTGCGCTGGATTTGTGGAAGGGTGTGTGCCACACTTGAGACTGCCTTATCACCAAGTTTAGCCACTGGGGAGGACACTGGTTATTGAAGCTTCATCGAGTTGTGCTTGTCAATTCCACCAGAGACACCGAATGGCGGCCGTTCAGGAGAAATTTTGTTTTCGGATGGTGTTTTGCGCTCAAGATGACAACTACCTTCGTCTCACAGCCACACAGGCGCTCTTTAGCACCTACCTGCTTATTGCTATCAGCAGCCATACATATGCAACATCCGCTTGCCTTGCTTCCGTTTTCCACTTGTGTGGGCCCAGTCCACATCTGGCTATCCATCTTGCCGCAACTTCTGGCGCCTCGAGCAGTCACGCTCTGAAGCCACAACGTCTCCAGAGTCGCTTTGCGTCGTTGCGCCCACCGCCCTTCAACACCTGCACGCAGGCGAGCTTTTCCCTGGCGTTGAGCAAAGAGAGGCGACGTGCTCATCCGCCGACGGAACGCCCACCGATGCCTCCCTCTGCCGCGACGTGCTGCCTTCCGAGAGCATGCGCACCTGCAACGCCGCGCCGTGCAACTTGTTCCGATTCTCGGTCGGCCCGTGGAGCGCCTGTTCCTGCCTGGGGCGCCAGCAGAACAGGGCGGTCGAGTGCGTCGACATGACGGGCAAGTCGGTCGACGACAGCAGGTGTCGGCAGATGGGGCTGGAGACGCCCAGGGGGGTTCAGGGCTGCGAGCCTGAGGACTGTGGGGATATGCCCAGCCTGAGGAAGCTGTTGCAGGGTGGTGCAGATGCGGGGAATGAAGATGCTTGCGAGGGCAACTCGTGCTCAGGTGCGTCTCGGCCACACCCACCAATGTACGCGTGTTCTTCGTGGTCACCGCCGATTCGCGGGGTGAAATTTAGGCGTTACGTGATGAGAGCTTTTTCAGGGTGTGCCGGGTTGCTGGCAATTCCGCAACATTTCCGCAAACAATTGGGACTGCGAATTAGGGCGTGCACCAAGTGCGTTGTATCCAACCTCCATGTGGCTCTGGATGCCGGGACTTGGGAGTGTGTGGGACTCTGTGCTTTGTGCCGTTTTCCAGCATGAACCTGAACAAGGACGACAACATCGGGCATGCGCACAGCACTTGTTCGGGACGCTGCAAGGGCTGTGAAAATTAGAAAGCGGCATGCCTCGTTGCTTCGCTAAAGATAAGAAAAGAATGAATGAATGAATGAATGAATGAATGAATGAATGAATGAATGAATGAATGCAAGAATGAACATCCTTATAGGCAACGCCAAAAACTCCACACATTGGCCATGTCACGTGTCTCTGCTGAACTCAAATAGTCAAACAGCGTCCTCTTGCCAGCTGTCTACACTGACCTCACAATGGTTGGCAAAAACCCCACCCCCTCAAGCATCAAGGAACACAGACATAAAAAAGGAAAAGGAAAGGCAAAATATTGACTCTCAGTTTCCTAGTCAGTCGCCGAGTCTGGGTGTCTGAGCGTTTGTGCGGGCGACCGCCAGGCCATGGAAAGTGCCGCAAGGGGTCATGCAAGTGCGACAAGGGCTTCGAGGGGCCAGACTGCCAGCTGGACGTCCGGGAGCAGTCCACTTGCCCAACAGGCGTCTTGGACGTGGAAGGCAACTGCTGCGACAACGGTGTGTACGACCACCTCACGGGCGAGTGCTGCCCAGGGGAAGGGGCCATTCTGGACAAGGACGGACTCTGCTGCAACGGCTCCTTGGACGTGTGCGGCGTGTGCAACGGCAAGGCGATCTTCATCGATGCCTTGGGGCGATGCTGCGATGTAAGTCTGAGCGATGCATCAGTCAGGGTCCTTGAGCGGGTGCTGACTCAAATGTGCCTGCATAGAGCCGGACAACGGCTCGGAGCCACAGTATCTGGAGTAAAAAAAAACGTGAGCGCCAAGAGGAAGAAACGCGGAATTGCGGACCTCTTGTGGAAAGCAGCGCATGCACGGACTACCTGAAATACAGTCCTGCAGCTCCACTGTCCCTTGGGAAAGTGCACAACCAGAAATACACCAAGGGGAAAGGAAGCTGGTGCAATTCTAAAGCAACCATGGCCGCCCTAACTTAGCAGCTTCCCAACATTGGACCACACCTTGACTAGGGGTAGATGTGCAGGGCTGCCTTCCCCTCAACACAGCACTTTAATTAATGGGGAATGACACATAGTTGCAAATGTCACAATCGAAGGTGAGGTTTGAGATGTGTGTACTGTGCATCTCCAAAAGACTGAAACACGAACTCTTCCATGATACAGGGGTGACGGAAGAATAGGGTGCCTCACAGATGTAGCCACAGAAGTTCGAAAGGAACCTAACACAGGCAGAATTGTCTGGCTAGAACATGGGCCTGCACTTCATGCCTGGGGGCGTATGCATCCGCAGTATTGTTGCCTTGTTGGCATTCTTATGGGACCTGACACACCTCAACTTCCTATTCCTCAGACCACCCTCGATTCAGCTGGCCTTTGCTGTCCAAGCGGCGATGTGGACGTGTGTGGTGTCTGCGATGGTTTTGGTGCCAGTTGTGCAACTCAATTGGTGGCCATGGTCCAAGGTGGCACTAAAGATGCAGACAGTGTCGAGCAGTGCATTGCACAGGACATTGCCACCATGTTGGAGCTGGAGGTGCGTGTTTTTGGCAAGATGCTTGATCCTATCATGGCAGTGATTCATATGAAGTGGTGTTGCAAGCCAGCCTGGCAAGCCTCTTTTTGCGCACATGCGGGAGTTCTGGAAATGTTTTCGAGGAAGATGGCTGCATGTGAAAGTCTGCGTCTGGCAATTGCAGTGCTGGTGCGTCGCAGATGGGCCACAAATTTTTCTTTAGGACCTGGGATAACAGAATTGCAACCGGTACCCCTCCTGTGCAATGACACTGCCAAACTCCTTATTCTGTGGTGGATGGCATTGGTTAAGCAGGAAGGAACCGATCCAGCAGTGGACATCGTGTGGACAGACGGGTTGAGGGACAGCTTGGATGTTGCATTCAACATCTCTGGCATCCCAAGGTCAAAACTCCGCCCCCTGGAGCGCCTTGTCTCAAGCCAAGCAAACTTGACCACGAGTGGTGCCACCTGCTCCATCACGGACCTCCTCAGCTTTGCAAGGCTTCCTGTGTGCGGCAATGGCGTGTGCGAAGTTGGAGAAGCAGCCGGTTCTGATGGTTCTGGATCCCGAAAGGGGTACAGCTGTCCAGAGGACTGTCCAGTTAGTTTTGACTATGACTGTCCAACAACCTCAGGATATGGTACAGTGGGGCGTAAAGGTGAAATGTGCTCCGGGCATGGGCGATGTCTGTATGCGGAAGTGGGGCGATGCGATTGCTACAGTGGGTATGAGGGAGAGGCCTGTGACCGCTGCGCCCTGGGGCTGATGCCATTCAAGGGCAAGTGTGTGCTGAGGACGGGCGGCGCCAAGCAGCCGGGTGCTCCGAGTTTCTGCTGCGCTCCTGGGCAGGCAGCAAATGATACAACCGATGCTGTCAATGGGCGAGATGGACGCGCTGTGGCACCTGGTACTGCAGGTGCCAATTCTACTGCGAGTAGCAGTTTTGCAGCAGTTGATGCAGAAAACCCCGGTGATGATGCCTCCGGGACCAACAGGTGAGATTTTATTGCCATCATGTGCATAGGCTAAAACCTCACTCGCTGAATTTGCCCCAGTGTTGGCATTGATTGCAGGTGAGCCAATGTGGCCATGTTGGGAATGTTGGCTGGGTTCTGTTTCAACACAGCTGCCATTTCATGAGCCACTTTGAAATTTGTGTTCATGGAGCATTCCACAGTTATTGGAGGGATGCAGCACAACAGAAATCTCGCTTGGCCCATAGGCCAGGTGCGTCTGTGATGCCTGGATGCCCAAAACAACTGCTATGCCCACAAGATTTGGGGGAAATTGTGCAGGCATCTCTTCAGTTTTGCAAACTGTTTCACATGGGCTGAGATAAGAACCTCATGCCAATTTTATTCTGCTGTTCATCGAGTTGGCATCGTGTTCAGATTGCACTCGTATTGTGCCAGCCTGTATCTTGGGAGTTGCTCATGTCTTGGTTCTCCTGATGGCACCCTGGTCTTTGCTGGAAACAATGCGCATCCTTCTGGGTTTATGTCTGGTGCCTCGTGCCCTAGAAGGCCCCCTTTCCTACTCGCATGGAACACCAACGAAAGCACCAGATCTGCACAACAGCGTGCAATGTGTGTGGTGCTACTGCCTTATGTGTTTTACCATGGTTCAAGGGTGGAAAGCAGGATCTGTTTGGCTGGATCAATGTGTGGAGGTGTGATACCCCACAATTGTCGCAATCATCGGTTTGTCAGGGAGAATTCAAGAGCAACCATTTGAAATGATATTATGAGGCCCTGGCTCACAAATTTTTCTGTTTTTTTGCCGCAGCCAATTCATGGGGGTCTCTGAGGCAGCGTTCTCGTCCATCATGGGCGTTGCCATCGTTGCCTTCATTGTCTGCATCGCCCTTGCACTGCTGTCCTACAAGCGCCGGCGCGCAAAGGTGCCAATGAGCTTCACCATATCAGATGTGCATACAACAGGCGACTCTGGGCCTCTTAGCAACCGGGACAAGACATACTCCACAATTTGGCATGAGTTCCAGCAAGGCCTTACCAAGGCTGATGGTGGTGCCAGAAGCTTGCCAATGATCATGTCATCCTTCGACCCAGGGTGAGTGTGCAAGGATTTTGATCTTTGGTTGATCTTCTTAGTGTTTTTGCTTCACTAGTTTGTATTGTCCTATGCATGTATTGCCGCCTTGAATCTATCCCATGTGTCTACCTGTATTGTTACCTTTCCAATTTCCTATAATTTCCTTCCTATATGACTGTAGCTTTTTTATCTTGCTCTGTTAGCCTTTTGCATTTTGTAACGTTTTGCGTTTTTGTGTTTTTGATTGAACTGCTATCAGCAGCAGATTTGCACAGGCCATCACAAAGTTGATGAAGCATCCAGTGCTGCCCTGCCTGCAGTGTGTACTACGCCTATTGCTGACTCGCTCACAGTGGTCGATTTGGCTCAAAATGATGGCAGCCCCTTGGTTTGATTCACAGGAAGCGGGGAGATGCCATTAGTGTGAGAAGCCCGCCCGCAAAGCAGTACCCGCAAGGTGGCAGCACTGCAAGATCGACGCCCAGGGAGATCTCAGCAGACTGGGTTTCGGACTCTTCAGACACACGGGAGCGCACACGCCCCAGGATATCATCCAGAAGCACCGCTTCCACAGCATCTTCCAAGACGTCGTCCAGCAGCGGGTCGTCTGCCGGCAAGGAGTTTGCTGTGCAGCGTTCGGCTGATTCTGAAGAGATTCGCAGCCAGATCAGCCAGAGCTCGAGTGAGAGGGGTGTGAGCATCGGCAACTTGCTCCAAGCCAAGCAGCAGGCGCTGGGTGAGTCGCCATCCATCAACGTCTATGACAGGAAGACTGCATTCAACCCCAAGGACATCATTGAAGGACCTGGTGGTTTTATGGGAGCGGGCAGACAGCAGCAGGTCAGGTCTGAGTATGAATCTGAGGGTGCTTCAGTGCGGTCCGGCCAGATGAACATGGGCCACGTAGGGAACAAATGGCGCAGGACAGAGCGCCCTCCTGTAGGAGCCAGTGCACCGAGCAGCCTGGCGTGGGGCGGGCTGGGGGCAGAAATAACCGCACAATCGACGGGGGGGAATAATTCAACTGGGGTGAGCGATGGGTCCACGTGGGAGATTGAGCCAGCGTCACAGAGCTCAGAGAAGGACACCGGGCACGTGATGGTGTCCAACCCTTGGACGTTCACTGCCGCCAGGAACTCAGAAGATGACACGGCCGGCCAGCACCGGCCCGGGACCAAACTGCGCATGCCTCCTCCTGCGGGTATGCCAGTGGATGCGATTTACAACGTGAGGACTGAAGTGCCGGCTGAGGGCTCCGGCCTTGTTGCAGTTGGCTTCCAGTTGCCTATCGCTGCAAAGTCACCAAATGGGTCTTCGGGGGAGGATACAGAAAGCCCGCTGTTTGCGGGGCGCCAAGGCTGTGGTGGGCTGACAGGTCAGCCATCGATGGAGCAGATGGGAGGCATGGGTACTGGGATTCTGAGGCCTATGCAGGTGGAGGAAGCAACTGCTAGCGAGCCAGAGGCAAGGGGCACCAGGCATGTGGGCAGCGGAGGCAATGTGAGGTTTCCTCAAGTTGTGACGATCAGGACCAAAGAGGTGGACATGGGGCTGAGTGACTGGGAGAGGGAGATGAGTGCTCAGAATGGGGCACCTGCTGTGAAGGTCGCCGATGTTTGGGAGGTGGGTTGTATGAAACGAAAGTATTGGGGTGCTGCTGTACCAACATATCTGATGATCACATGTGGCGCTGCCAAATACCCCAGAATCAAATCCCAGAGTATGATAAGGGCGATTGTCTATATGGGCATCTACATGTCTGCCGATTTGTATTCTCTTGTTAGATGCCCTTCATTGGTTTCTGGCTTGTTGCTTTCGTTGACTTCTGTCTGGTGTGCTTCTGGCAGAGTTGCTCCCATGCGTCACTGTCATATGGTGAACAGGAGTTCAAGCATGGAAGCGACAATCCTAGTCATCCATTGCAAGAAATCAACCCCACTTGGGTAAGATGCACATTATTTTCACCAGTTTTGCATGTGTGCATATTCTTCCCCGCAGCATATCCCTTTGTGTGTATTCACCAAGAATACCATGCTCCAAGCTTCACAACCAAATGGGCATGCTTACGAGGCACTGAGCACCGTCGAAGGTCATGTGCAGCGATTGTAGTTCAATCAGCTGAATGTATGCACTCATTGGAGTTTTCCTAGCCATCATGTATTGCTGTCCCCATTTGCAACCCCATAAGAACATCGTCCTTAGGGAGCCCATGTATGTATGCATGTGCCATACTTGAATTTGTGGTGCAAGGACAGTACCATAACACTCTGGTCACGGCGATCTGGCGGAACATGCCATGTCCGAATTTGGGACAAGATTTCTCCTCCAGTCTGCCAGCAAGGGCTTCCAATATCTGAACATGACTTTTCTGTGTGGTGTCAGAGCGCCTTGACATCCCACCTGCCTGACGAGTCTCGACCAGAGGGCGAAGCTGTTCCTGCAAGACATCAGGATCATGTCGGCGGCCCTGGCTTGGTATGTGTGCAAGAGAATCTACTTGGAAAACACCCTGGGTGGGTGGTTGTCTTGTTTGTTCCCATGGCCAATGCAAGCCGCGTCCGGAAATGTGTATACATGAGTTTTTCGGTGACAAATCCAGTTTCTGCTAGGTGTTGTGTGACAGCACTCAATCACCCTGTTTCACATTGAGCAAACTCAATTTCCCTGGCACACTGAGCAATATGGAGCTCCACTGGTACGTTGCTGCTCCTGATGGCGCGGTTGGCTATGAATTGTGCTTTGTGGGTGTTATTGATCAGATGAAATGGTGTATTGGCACCGGAATGCGTTGTGTCCTTGTGCCATAGTACCGTAGTGTGTTAAACCCTTCCGCATAGTAACGTGGCGCTTGGCCTTAAAAAAGTAAAGCTCTTCTAAGAAAATTGTTGCGGAGCAACACAAAAGAACTTTAAAAACGAATGCCTTGACAAAAAGATGTGGAGCAAAAAGCGTGACAGTAAATCTATTTGATGCTGAAGGGCTGAACATACTGCAATAAAAGATTGTCAGACGGGTCTACAGATCAAAACTTGCCCCACAATGGCGCAAGTGTTGTCCTTGAGAATATGCGACGTTCGAATTCCAGAGTCCTGTTGGGTAAGTCCGATAGGCGTTATCCTACACAATGGTTTGGCCGTTTCTGTGATGCCTGCTGTCCACTGTGAATTGCAGGAGGGTGAGGATTCCCTGGAGTTTCCAGCACACCGGCAACTGGACGTGCCAACAGTATATGCAAGCGATCATGTGCGGTTAAGTGAAATGTCAGAGGTAAGCTTTAGCCATGTATTCAGCAGTTTTCAAATCATGTTGGCATGCCTGGTGATGATAGTTGCAGCGCTGCTTTGCAGTCCGTTGACCCACATTCAACCAGCTGGATGTGGCAATAGAGTGAGCAGCCATATTGCTGTGTGCTGTTGTTTGTTTTGTGAAACACTGCGTAGATGCTTGATTTGGAGATTGGAACGGGTTGAGTTTTCTAGAGGGGGGTTGAGGGAGAGTGATGGCCGACAGCTGACTATTAAGTTGCTGGTAAAGTTGTGAACTATCCGTGTTCGTCCATGGACACATTTGGACACTCTCATGCCCCATGCAGTGTGAATAACTTTGTGCAAAATAATAGGCATTTTACACTGAAGGTGTGCTGTGCTGTTGGTTCGCATCTACTGGTGTACTGTGCGAGCAGCAAAAGTCCCTCCCAGATGACCTGAAAGTTGTTCATGTGCTGTTTGCAGAGCGCATCACTGAGCTCACGATCTTGGGACAATTCAAGTGGCTCCGACAGAAACCTCTTGAGGCTTGAAGATGTGCCAAAGGTAACGCGGTGCCTGACGCAAACCATGCATACTGTGTTGGCATATGGCTGCTGAAATCGAGCATGGAATAAATTGGAATAGAATTTTAGAATTTTTCTAAAGTTAGTTTGCATGTGACAATGCATGTTGGGTTTCGTCTTTATTGTGCATTAGTCAGTTTTCACATTCTGATGGACGAATCTTCATGTGAAACTTCCCAGTGGTGTTGGCATTGTGCCATTCACCCTCTCACAGTGCTTACAGATGTGCTGCTGTAGTAGACAGAGCCAGAGCTGCCATGAATTGATTCTTTCCTGCCTGCAGCAGGTTGCATCCCCAACATCCCATTCGTGGGATGAGCAGCCTCTGGACGACACGTCAACTGGGTTTGGGGCCCGACCCGCCATGGCTACCGATGCACTGCAGGTGTGCCTTTCAATCAACAGGACATTCATTCAATTGTGGCGTTTCTCTGATCCAGCTCGCAATTGAAGAACGACCACCTTCACGCTGACAAGGAGGCAGCGTGCATAGTTGTCTTCACAGTGTTAGTGTATTTCTACGAGGTGTTGGCATCAGAGGACTAGTTTGGCCTGATGTTATTAAACTTGTTCTTGCAGAACTCGTGGGCGTATCTCTCCCTGGAGCCAAGGCAGCCAGAGACGATGAGGGTGCATGTGACCCATGCCAATGGATTGGCACATTTCAGGGTACGTGAGGAATGCTGAGCTGGACAGATTTTCCTTGCCTCCGCTGGAGCAACGTGAGATGTTGCCGCACGGCGCATCTCAGGCTCACCAGTGTGCCAAGGAAACAGAACAGCTTATGGGCATATGCCGTTGCCCTTCAACTTTGCGTGAGCTACGCTGCATACGTCGCTGGGCGGTCTCGATTGTCGGTATACCAATGGCAACAGTGCACTCTGTGCGTCATGGCACTTATGGGAAACTTTTGTAATGAATGGTAGATGATGCAACACTTCATAAAGAGTGACAAAAATAAGCTAAATCATTTTATTGAATGAATTACTCGTTGGCAGAGAAACAGACTCCGCCATTGCAGTCCCCGGCTGGTGGATTGGGAACCCCAAGCGGGCCTCAGTACTGACTCATGACGCGCTTTGGGCGGAGGGCAGTTTGCGGTTGAATGACGCCATCCATCTCCAAAATATTAGCCAAGACTTGAGACGGTTGCACTGCACTTGCAGCTGTGGTCCAAAGGTGTTCATGGCGAGTATAGGCGTTTGCGTTGAATTGGATGCCCTTGTGTTTTGTGCAGTTGTGAGAGTGGCTGCTGCGTTGCTGATGTGGGAAATGCTGTGCTGCGAACCTTGCAGAGATCATCTGGAAGCTTCGAAGAGCCTCACAGTGAAGATATATTCGTGACCTGTCCCGAGATAATGGGCAGCAATGGCTCAGTGGTGAGCGCTTGGTTAAAGACAGCACCACAGGCTGCCACCGCGGTCCCCAATTTCTGCTGCTTTGTTGAACCCGAAAATGGATCACAAACTTGAAGAATCTTCCTTTTGCAATTTATTGTGTAACACGAGTGTTGGAACGTTTGCATCCGATGCATTGCTCATCACCATTTGGCCCGTCGGAGAGTACAAAAACCTTCCAGGTCCGGTTGTCGAATGTGGCATGTCTGCCCTGTCCTGCGTATGCCTATCCAGCCTATGCAGGCAAGTGCCAGCTTCCTGGATATCCCTTGCAACGATGAGGCTTGAAGAGAAATCAGGCAGTGTGTTCTGAGATTGGCATCCAGGGCAAAACTGCAATATATTTGGTACGCGATAGACATAAAGTGGGCCTTTGCGGTGTTCAGCTGGGCAGTGGCACATGGCAACATAGCAAGTGTGGTGCAGCTGGGTGGCTGGGGCTAGAGGAAGGCTGGGCTTCGTCCAAACTGCGCCATTCTGTCCGTTTCTGACCCCGCGTCGTTTGAGCAAGCAAGCCACTGTTGTCGAACTGCATCTGCATTATGGAACGCAAACTGCGATGGAGCGCCTATATTGTTTCGTTGCTGATGTGCTGTCAGCTCATTGCCCCTTTCGGGCCAAGCAGTTTGCACAAAGCGAGCTGCGCAGTGAGCTGCGTCCTCTGCGTTTGCTCAACTACGTCAATGCGCCCAGTGGCCGAATTTGGTGATTCTGGGCTTTTGCGTGATGCACTAGATTTTAATGAATTGATCATGGGCACTGCTTGGTCGAGCTGAGTAGGAAGCTGACTGTTACCTCTTTGCCTTGTTATGTACAAATAAATGATGGCGATCCTCCTGCTGCAGTCCTAACTGTGAAGTGATCTGAATCTCTGATGCCTCATTGTGCAGATCGACCGTGAAGCCTCGGACTTGGAAGGGTAGGGCCTGCGACTGACGGAGCGCAGGGCCCCGGTGGAACTAATTACTGGCTGGAAGACTCGCAATAACCGTCGGTAGCGACCTGTACCTTTCGGCGGGCAGCAGAGTGCACACCATCTGCGGAATCAAAGCAGTCGCGGGTGTTCAATTCTTTGAAGTTGATTTCGCCAGGCCTGTGGGAATGCGCGATTTGCGGCGCCTGCCTCCTCGTTCTGTGCTATCAACGGACGTGCGACCGTGGAACAAGCGTGGAAGAAGCATTGTACCCCATGACACATGCGCAGGTAGTATTGAGACTTGGGCGCTAAGCACCATAAGGGAGCGTTCACGCCTTGTGGTCGGGCCTGCGCCAGACGCACGCCCATTTTTCTTGTGGGCATTTGTGGGACCGCAGGGAATTCATTCGCAGTCGGGCGGAGGCCGCGAGGGCCCGAGAACGGCCTGCCTTCGGGCGCCGCACGCCTTTGTCTCACTGTGTTAAGATTGTAAGGTTTGGCGATTGTGTATTCTTCCCACTTCCTCGAGGCAGCGGCGGGGCCGCCGCGGGGACTGCATAGCGAATTTCGTGAAAGGCCGTCCGGAATTTGGAAATAGGCTGACAATGTGGCGCGTTGGGAGTTTACAGTGACGTAAATGAATATGCACCGTGGCCGCGCGAGCTGTGGATAGTGCGGATGCAGAGTGCGGGGTGTCCATGGGGTTCGTGTTTAAGAGCGGGCAGCACGAGATGGCACGGAGTTGGCGACTGGCCCGCAGAGGGGCGCCAGCCTGGGCAACCGGCCGGTCGCTCAGCGGCGCATGTGCACATCTGCGCTCAGCAGCAAGCATGTTTTGAATATCTGGCTTGTTTCTCGCGACTGGGACAAATACGTATACACCAGACTGGAGCTGCCAAAGCCCAACCCCCACCAACCCCCACCCGCGAACCAATTGAAAGTTTTTCCTGACAGCGCTGCATTTGTATGTGTATAGGGATATACCCAGGAACATATCCGGGAGTTTACCCGAAATGGCAAAATTAGGAAGTGTGTACCCAGGAACGAAGGGACATTGACCCTGCTGGGGGCATGGCCATGGCGGGACGCGGCAAAGGCTGCCAATTCCGTCGCCCACTGCAGGAGCATTGTGCTTGGAACCCTGGGATCAAATGGTGTAAAGGACAGCGGTCCATTCTGGCTGTCATCCCCGGAGATGGCGCAGTCTAATCACCGCTGAACGAGCAGCTGAGCCACGTCGACAGCCTCAGCATCACGTCAGTTGAGGGTGTACTCAACGAGCAAGCTTTGCCCCTCACGCGAACTGGCTCCTCACGAAGAACAGCTTTCCGCGACGATGTCAATTACCCAAAATAGCAGCGACGGCAAGGGAAGCTTCAGACGAGCGGCAAACAACTAATTGAACATCAAGTGTGTAAGCGCGCCTGTAGAACCTCTCGCAACTGCCCCCCAGAGGGCCACAACCGGTCGCAGCCACTCCCCAAGGTAAGCAAGGCCAGCCCCACAGGTAGGGGCAGCCTTATCCACAGCGTAGCGATACAATACACGAAAGATGCTTCTTTCTTCTCGACGAGGTTGTGCAGCGACGAGGGTTGGTCACTTTTGGCCAGCAGCACGACCGCACTGGCAGTGCTGGTCTTGAACGGCAAGGAAAGCGGCTCAGAAAAGGCACAGACTGGCCGCGACCTTTCAAGGTCGAGCACTATTGCGCTAAGGCCGTGGCGAACGTTGTGCACACGGCCAGGGAAGTCAGGCAGCCAGGCTGAGTGCCTAGACCGCCGCGAGAGGCACATGCAAACGCCGCGCAACTGTTCTTACTGCTGCGAGGCCGAGTGCAACAATACAGTGTCCCTGTAGCGTTCGCCACGCCCCCAGTACTTGTAACCCCCCAAGCTCTGGCAAATAAACCCCCAAGATGCTCTTTTGACACCCGGAATCTTACTGCCACACCCGCTGTTTCACCGCAACTCCACCCGGTACGCCCCACTGCCCGCAATCAGCCACCACATAATGGCCCAATGGCCACATTCCCATCGAACAGCCACTCTTTCCACGGTCAGCAACAACGTAATGCCCAATGGCATACTCCCACCAAACAACCAGGTGGCGCCTCCACGCGCCCATCCAGGCTCCTCCTCGCCACGGTCTATGGTAGACGGCCAGGCGGGCAGCCCCTAAGCAAACGCACGTGTCCAATGGCAACGTTGGTGCTCTTCAGTACTCCAACGCGTTTTCTGGGCGTCTCTGACTCATGTGTCTCCGTGTGATGCGCTGCCACGTATTGGCTTGTGCTCAGCATCTTCATAATATCATACTGGACTCTTTGGGTGTGTGACACGAGGACAAAAAGGGGCAAATAACACGTGTCCAAACGTGTACAAAGTTTACGGGTTTGTGTTATTTTTGGGTCCTTAGCGTGCAGAACTTTGATGAAATGTGTTTTTTGTGTGTTCCCAAAAGTGTTATTTGGCCCTTTTTTCCTAGCGTGATGAAGTTGCCATAATCTATGTTTGTCATCGAAGTCACCTTTCTGCGTCTTGAGTGGCTTGAGCTCGCGATACTAGAAAATTATGTAGCATGCCTGACTGATGACTCGTGGGTTTTTCACCTCATTGAGCGCCAATCTGCTTGATGATTATCAGGTTGACCGAAGGCTCTCGGGCGCTCGCACACAAGTCGCTCCTAGGCACGCTCCCAGGCACGGGAAGCGAGGCCGTAAATGGAATTAACTATCCTGTTAATGGGTTTCTGCTAAGGACGACGATTGGGTGGGCGCGCAACGGCCAGGGCGGGCCGTTCCGCCCTTTGGGACAGTTTGGCCATCCATCAGCCGGGTTTCTGTCACCCCTGTACTCGGGGTCAGTGCTGCCCGACGCACCCAAGGGCGGTGGGGTTGATCCTTGTACCTTGGGCGCAGCCAAGGGGACCGGTCAAGCTGGCCCTTGGGTTTGGCGGGGAGTTTGGCGGCAAGTGGGAGCGGCTATTTTAGGCGCGACCCTTGGCGCCCCCCTTTATCTTGTTTCGCTTCGCGCCAACCTTTGGCACAACCCGGAACCACAGAGTGGTTCGACCTTCCGGCCTTCGCGCCGAGTCCTTTCTGTATGAACCCCAGCCCGGCCGAACAGTGGCTGTGGGCTCAGGCGCTTCGTTTCAACCAGCGCCTCCCTGACCGTCCTATTGAGGTCGCGTGGGTTTCCGACCCCCGCTTACTCCCCCGCTCAGTCAACAACCGGGTCGCCAGGCCGGACTTCACGTCTTTTCCGGCGTGGTTCGACGTACGAGAGACCGGCCAGGGCCAGACCGTCGCCGCGGCCTTGGGACCCAACTCCGGCTACTTCCAGGAGTACGCGAGCTGGGCGCCGTGGGTCGCGTGGTAGTTCGACTACACGGCGGCCTTCGTGGACCTGGTCGCCCATCCGAGTCTACCGCCTTCGATCCGCGATCTTCTCCTGCCGTACGTCTACGCCTCGGTGGCCATTACCGAACGGCAGGTCGACCAACTGCGCCTCCATCAAGTGCACGCGAAGCACCGCGGCACCGGGCTCGAGGGATCCTGGCGCGCGCTGCAGGCCCAGATCCGCCTCAGCGAACCCGAAGGCGGCTTCACCACCGAGACCATCGACGGGACGCTGGGCGCCATCCGCAAGGAGCTCCTCACCCAGGAGGTCAAGCTTGCGACCAAGGCGGCCGCGGCCAGTCGGGCATCCAAGGCGGGGAGCGGCAATCCTCCGGCCCATTCGAACGGCCCGTCGGGGAAGCGGGGAAAACGCCACAATCCTCCTCCAACGGCGCGTCCACCTCCGGACGCGTGACCGACTTCCCCTATAATCGCACCCGCGGACGCCTCTCGGCATGGCGGAGGATTGGAGCGCCCTAGCACGTGCTTAGATGGATCCATTCGGGCGTCCCGCTGCCGTGGGGACCGCAGGGTCCTCCCCCGCCCTTCGACCAAGGGGAATACCCGATCCGTTCGGCGGAGGAGCGGGCGGGCTGGACGGCCCTCCGCGAGGAGTATTTGGAGACGGGAGCAATTGTCAAGGTAGCCCCCGGTCCCGATTCGCGCATTTCGCGCGCTTTCCTGGTCGAAAAGGGACGGGAGAACGGGGTTATGAAGTATCGTTTATGTGTCGATCTTCGCCGAGTTAATCGGCATCTCCGCAAGATGGGCTTGCGGTATGAAAAACTCCGCGATTTTGGTCATTTGTTGCGGAGGAAGGATTTTTTGGTGGGGTTTGACATCAAGGATGCTTACCACCACTTAAGAATGCGTTTGGAGGATGAATGCTTTTTACAATTTCGAATGGGCGGGGAGGTCTTTGCTTGCCGCGCCCTCCCCTTTGGGCTCTCCTTGGCGCCCTACTTTTTCACTCATTTTATGTTGGTGGTGACTCGTTTTCTTCGCTCCCCGGGTTCATGTGCCAAAGCGGCTCGCAAGTTCCGTTTTGGCCAGCTCGCGGGGAATGATTCGATCTACCGCTATTTTGTGCGGTATACGGTCGATGACCCCGCCATTCTTTTGGCCTATTTGGACGACTTTTTGGCAGCCATGAGCGATCCCCACAAATTACGGGAATGGTCCCATTTAGTTAGGGAGATCTTCGGGGCTTTGGGGATTCGCTTCAAGGATCGAAAGTGTCAATGGGACCCCGTCCAGGTCAAGCGGCATCTCGAGGTGGTGATCGACACCACCGCTTGTCGGTTTTTCGTGCCAAGCGACAAGGTGGCCACCATTGCCGCCAAAGCTCGGGTCCTTCGGGCCCAGCGCTGGGTGGTGGCTCGCGATTTGGCCCGTTTCTGTGGGCTGGCCATTTCGGTTTATTTGGCCTTCCCACTTGCTCGTTTTTTCCTTCAGAGTCTCTACGGGGTGCTGCGGACCAAGCGGTCTTGGAGGGATCGGCTGCGTTTGACCCCCCAAGCATGCCTCGATCTGGAGGCGTGGATCCATTTGGATCGTTGTGACGGTCGCCCCCTCAATCCCGACGCCGTGCCCTACGCGGGTACCTTGGC